GTTGTGTTTTGGGGTATTTGTGAAACAATAAATTCATTCAACATGTGGACAATGAAAAAAATCTTTAATATTATTTTATTGATGAAAAAATCCTCTGAGTTCCAGGATTTATTTAATACAATTGTCAGTGTAATTCTCCTTTTTTCTCTTTAGTAAGGATTTTAATGTTTGTTGTAGTCAAATGTTAGAATTGATACATATAAAACAATAATGGAGTCATTGAAATGTGCTAGTGTTTTTTAACACAAGGATATTATATAAAATATGTCTAAAACAAAAAAATAAAAATAGGTTACATAGAACTATTAAAATAGTTTTTTTTTTTTTTATTGTAAAACCATTTGTGTTTGAGGAAGGCTGGTTAATGTCAGTAGTTACTTTTTTTGTCCTTACCTTGGGACTTCAGTCTTTTGCTTGCTGTTTCTGGGCTGTAGTTGGTGGGAACATAGCAGGATGATATTTGTGTTCTGTAGTAGAGCCAGGTGTGGTGGAGAACACTTTAGTACCAGCACTCTGGAGGCGAAAGCCAGTGGATTTCTGTAAGCTGGAGGCCAGATAGTAAGATGTTGTCTTAACAACAAAAAAAGGTGTGTGTGTGTGTGTGTGTGTGTGTGTGTGTGTGTGTGTAAGTATATACCAATCAGCTGGACGTTGGTGGTGCATGCCTTTAATCCCAGCACTCAGGAGGCAGAGGCAGGTGGATCTCTGTGAGTTCAAGGCCAGCCTGGTCTACAGATCGAGTTTCAGGCCAGGCTCCAAAGCAATACAGAGAAACCATGTATTAAAAAAAAAAAAGAAAAGAAAGAAAGAAAGAAAGAAAGAAGGAAAGAAAAGAAAACCAAGCAGCTATTCTAACTGCATGCATGAGGTCAGCACTGGAGAGGTTGCTCAGTAGGTAAGAACTTGCAAAGAACCTGGGTTAGAATCCTAACACACACACACACAGTGGCTCACAACCATAACTCTAGTTTCATGGGACCCTGCATTCTTTCTGACTTCTGAGGGCACCAAGCACATATGTGGTGCACATATATACATGCAGGCCAAATATTCATACACATAAAGCAACTAAATCGTAAAATGACAACAATAGCAAAGAGTCGAGGGCTCCTACATTGGCCCTATCTAGCCTGCATTTGTCATGGCAGATGTCCTTTAAACTGGAGCCACAACGTCTCATCCATTAGTTTCCTCTCAGTCTGCCATATGGTAGATAATCAGATAATCAGGGCTGTGAGATTAAGAAGATACCATCTCAAATGCTTCTACTTGTTACACCTTAGTCACGGAGACTTAAGCCCCATAGAAGACCTTTGATATTGATTTGAAGTAATTTCAGAGTATAGATGCCTACTGTACCTTGTGTGAGAGGAGGTTTGTAGACCCCAGGGTGACCTTATTAGCTTCCACTTTACTGAACTGGATTAGTCAAGACCAAATAGCACTGAGGCTCTTTTTCTGCTTGTTTGTTTGTTTTGAGACAGGGTTTCTATGAGTAGCCCTGGCTGTCCAGGAACTCCCTCTGTAGAACAGGCTGACCTTGAACTCACAGAGATCCACCTGTCTAGGTGGCAGACTCTCATATGACTCTGGCTGGCCTGGAACTGGCTATGTAGCTTGAGAGTGACCTTGAACTCTCAAGCCTCCTGTTTCCGCCTCCCAAGTGTTGTGATTACAGGCATCAGCACAACCAGTTCTCAGAAAGACTCTAACCTGTAACTATCAAAGCATAGACCTTTAGAAACCCACAGAGACCTGCAGAGTCAAGTATAAAGGACTTGAATTTCCCAGGACAAATTACCTCCCCCCCCCCCCTTTCAAGTAGGTCTCCTGAGTAGCTTGGGGAGAGAGGCTTCATCTAGGGCCCTCTGTGAATAACTCATAGTTAGGGATCCCCACATACAACAGACCAGCTCAATTTCCCTGATGCTGATTAATTCCAGAGATCTCTGAAGTAGACCGGGCCCAGGATCTGTCCACTGCTATCCTACCCTCTTGAAGGTTGACTATGTCACTGGAATGGCCATCTGCTGTGCTTCAAAATATGGCCCTGTTTCTCTGGGAACAGTCAACCCAGAATTATACATGTTAATATTAACTACCACTTGTGGGGGGTCAACTAAGTTCTAGAATATTCTAGATATTTTACATAATTTTCATTTGACCTCCCTAGCACTGCTTCAGGAAGTAGTGTTATAAAATCACAAATATATGCAATGCTGTTCATTACCCGCCTGACATCCTATGACATTTCCTGTGAACCTGAGTTTCATGAAGACATCAAATCTTGTGACTCAAATCCCTTCTGAGTTACCAGAGCTTAGCGTCTGGCATGTAGCCGCTGCTCAATATACGTGTGTCAAATAAATCATACAAAACATTTGCTAGATTGCCCCAATTGTTGCAGGTCAGACTAAAGCTCGGAGCAGCAAGCTAGCCAGGGCACAGTGGGCAGTGAGCAGCAGACCTACCTCCAGAGCCTCTGTGCATCTTCCCAGCCACCCTGCTGCCTGCCCCAGAATTGGAGGAATGGTTTTAGGCATGAGAAGACCCCTGCCAGCTGGGCTGAGCTCCCAGATGTATGATGTTGTGAACTGGCTGTTGGGGTGAATGGCCTTAGCCATGTGAACTCCAATTCACCTGGGCGGTACTATGCCTATCTGCTGAGTCTATTTCTGAAGCCAGGACTGTGTGATTCTTTCTTCCTGGAGGTTTTAAGATGATTTGTCAGCCACAAACTCCTAATTAGCACAGCTTACATTCCTGCAATTGTTTAACCATTTCATGGATCATCTTATTGCTTTAGCAGATGCTCTGTCTCCCTGGGCAGACTTCTGTTCATGGTTTCTTCTAGCGTGTTGACTTCAAACGTCCATAATTACAGGAAATTTGCCTAGAGGGTAAATCCTAACACACACACACACACACACACACACACACACACACACACACACACACACACCTGAGGAGATGAATACATTACATCACTTGATCGTGGCGACTATCTCACAGTCTATACATATATCAAACCATCAAGTTGTAATCTTTAACAACAAATAGAAAGCTAAGTAAAGCTTACATGATCTAAAAGAAGCATAGGGGCTGAAATGATGGCTCATTAGAGCACTTGCTGCTCCCGAAGAAGGCCTGGGTTTGTCTCCTAGCACCTGCACCAGGTAGCTTACAATCACCTGTAACTCCAGTTCCAGAAGATCCAATGCCATCTTCTAGCCATTTGGGGCACCTGTATCCACATACAAACAAGTAGGCACATAGATATAGAAATTAAAAAATAAAGCTCTATAAGGAATATAATCTTGGGGAGGTTTTAATGAATCAAAGTTAGGGTAGTAGAACTCACGTCTACATTGGGACAATCGCCAAATTATAACTAAATACAGTTTGGTTTGGGTTTTTTGTTTGTTTTGGTTTTGGTTTCCCTTCTTCCCTCCCTCCCTCCCTCCCTCCCTTCCTTCCTCCCTTCTTTCTTTCTTTCTTTCTTTCTTTCTTTCTTTCTTTTTTCCAAGATAGGGCTTCACTGTGAAGCTCTGGTTGTCCTGGAACTAGCTCTGTGTAGCCCTGGCTGTCCTGGAACTTGCTTTGTAGACCAGGTTTGTCTTGAACTCACAAGAGACCCACCTGCTTCTATCTCCTTGATTGTTGGGATTAAAGGTGTGTGCCACCACAATTGACTGGTTTGTTATTCAGGCTGGCCTGGAACTTACTCTGTCACTCTGGCAAACTTCAAATTTGTGGCCCTAGTTCCTTGTCCTCTTTAGTAGTTGGAGTTAAGCCTGCTCCTGATTCAGTTAAAACATAAGTCTCAAGTTGGACTCCTCTGCTCTGCCGTGCTTAGTGCAGATATGACATTAAGTGAACTTTGCCTATGTTTAAATAATTAACATGCCTTATTGATTGTCCAAATTTAATTTGGAACATTTTTAGTTTGTCATCTATATTGAAACCTATCCAAGCATACCCTGTGAATGGCCCAACACAAAAAACACAATTACTTAAAACATTATGAGTTTCTTTTTTTCATTTAAAAATAACTCAGTTGTGTGGTTCTCAAGCATGAACTTTGTAGATGAAAGCGCATGTCACAATGTCGAAAGACTAGGCACACCAGCCAGTGTTTTCAAATGATATCCAAAGAATCCTGCAGTGGTACAAATTATGCGTTTACCAACTTCATCTTGTATTAGGGCTGTACAGGTTTCTGGGAAAGCAAGTGCGACGCATTCAAACTAGAATTATGCTGGCTAGAAATGCCACCTCTCCATGCTGTCCTGTGACCTTCAAGGTCACAGAAACTGAAGGTTTCTTACCTTTACCATTGTAAGCATCTCCGATGAGTATTCCCATATGTCAGACTGGGTCCCCCATGCTGTCAGGCCAATTATAGATTTATAAGCTGATGAAAGTGCTTCTCAGGCTTCCTGCATCCTGTGTGTTTGGTATTGATTTTTGCTTGTTTGTATACTCATAGGGACTTGGGAGATAAATATTATATACCAGCCCCAGGCAAAACCATATTAAAATTTTCTCCCAAAGAGCTTACTCAGTTCTAGACTATCTTGAGATGAAAGTGTCCATGGCCAGTGTGACAAAGGGTCATTCACCTGGGAAGATTTTCCTGCTGTCAAACCTAAGGCCTTTCTCTTCTGATCTTGTTTAAAAAGTAACAGGAGTTGAGAGTTCAAAATGTATCTTTTCCTGAGTTTACAGAGGGTTTGCTAGCTTGGCTTTCTCCTTGGGAGCTGAATAGATACTCGTATTTGTATGAACACCATTGTGTTTGTGGCACTGGATGTCAGAAAGGACCAGCCCATTTTTCCTCCCATGCTTTAGAGAGATGAAGGAAAAAGAGAACAGTCGTGGGTGATGATTTGCTTCAAGGCTGTCAGGTTGGGAACAAACAGTTCAGATACCTTACAGATGGGTTTGCATTCTTGGGGCTGTGGAGAATGATTTTAAATTTATTTTTAATTGCTTTTTAGGTACATTTTGACCAATTTAAAGAAGCACTGATACTTATCTTGTCTAGAACTCTATCCAGTGAGGAGCACTTTCAGGAGTCAGGTAAGAGCACTGACGTTTCTTCTCTATATTTCCCTTGAAAAGGTATCCAGGGATGGGCTGGGGATGTAGCTCAGTGACAGAGTGCTTGCCCGGTATGCACAAGGCCCTGAGTTCAATCCCCAGCTCTTCCCTCCTCCCCAAAAATGTTTGAAAAGTTTTCTAGAGGAAAAATGTGAGGACCTTGAAGTATGCATGTGGAGGATTTGAGACATCTGCTCTTCGTAGATGGAGCCATTATTTCTGGAGACTTCTCTTGATATCATCACAAAAGCCTTGCAGCTGTTGAACACTAAAACGAGACCTCTATAGCACAGAAGCACGTTATGGAAGAAACCATTGGATTATTCCTAGGCAGGTGTCAGATAGTGTAGCAGTAACTCATTCTTAAATTGAGCAGAGTGAAGCTGAATGGTAGCTCCTTCAGCCTCACTTCCTGTGCCTGTGTGAGCATGTGATTTGGGGAAAAGTTTCCTGAAAGAGAGAATTCTAGTTGATCCCACTGAGTAGTCATGACCATATGACAGTGTGATGATGTCTGTGTGACCCCACTCTCAAGTGAGAAGTGTGGCCAGCAAGAGAGAATTCTAGTTGATCCCACTGAGTAGACATGACCATATGACAGTGTGATGATGTCTGTGTGACCCCACTCTCAAGTGCATCTCTATTTATAGCACCTGGAAGAACATTTAGCCTTAGTAAATATTAAGTAACTGTTATGAAAGAAGAATTAATGTTGTACCTCATTGTTTTTTTTTAAGAGTACCATGTATTGTAAGATATATAGTTACATATCTCAAAAGAGAAAAGTGTTGTCAAATATAACCTAAAATGTTATTGATGATAAAATGTATTCTGATTTAAGTGTGTTCAAATCTGGCACTGGTGTGTGCATGTCTTAAAATCAAAGAAATATGATAAATATTTGGGAAATTCCAAAGTGTAGAAACTCGTATTTAAGTATAGAGAACTATGAAAGTCATTTGGTTGACATGGCTAGGGATAAGGGACGACTGGAATGGACATCAGGAAATTTTGAGGGTGCTGCAACTTCTGTCTCTTGTAATGGGAGTACCATGACCATATGAACTTTTCCCACCCATACAGGGGTAAAATGAATTACACCTCTGTAAACCTGACTTTAAAGAAGAAAACAAACAAAAACCTATAGTCCATTCTGAGCAGAAATCATTAGCATTTTGTGTGGTCCCTTGGTGTGACCTATTTACATGGAACACAGATGGGAGCTCATTCTTCTCTCCGCTGTACTTTGTAAAGGACAGATTTGGGTCATGCATCTAGGCTTTACCTTTAACAATGTTTTGGGTACTGGGTTGAGCCCCCCCCCATCCCTTTTTTGCTGATGGTGTCTACCTTAGTAAGGCTGTTCCTGGGCCTTAGGCTTGACACCGCTCCCTGGAGGTTCCTACTGAGCCTGGGGGAGAGGTTCTTGCATTGTTCACACTTTTCTAGGATAATAGCAGAATGTCCACAGGTGACCACTGCTGGAACATGGACTTTTTTGTTACTTGTAGGATATCACATGTTATTGGTATTATTGATTTTTTAAAAGTTTATTATCTTGATAGCAATTATCAAGATCTGGGGGCCCTGGACAGAGTGATAGATTTGGGCTAATATGAAGATGGGCAATTTAAACAATTTCATTGTCCTCCTTTGTTTTCGTGTGGATTGGGAAGGACAGCACCGGCATTAATCCACTTAACACTGTCACCATCCTTTCTTGAAAACCCATACTGTCATCTGACAGAAAATTGTCACTGTAAAAAGACAGGTTTTGGTGACCACACATGAGAAGGCTTCCCCTAGAGTCGTGCTGTGTTGGAGCCCAGCAATAGGAAGAGCTGCAGGGTGGCTGTGAGCTTGGGAACTGCCAGAAAGGCAAGCTAACACAGCTAGCTGCAGATGGCGGCTTCTTTACTACATGTGGGCTACACTGCTGTGCTGGCTGGGGCCGCCATTTGGACCAGTCTTTCAGGACCACACAGAGAAGGCATTTTTATCATTTCATCATGTGACAGAACTGTCCCCAGACCAGTGTGATCCAGCAGTAAAATCCCAATGGACAGGACATTTCAGCTAGTGTTTCAGTGATGCTGTTAACCCTTGTCCTAGCAGGATGCAAACCCCGAATGGAGCCAGTGCCTTGAGTGTTTTATCTACTTGGAAGCATGGGTCTTGGTCCATGACCCCACTTTCCCGGCTTTGTTCTATACATCCCTGCTTTGTCTGTCATTGGCCTCTGTCTTCCTAGTTCCCCCAGTTGCTCCTGGCTGTCAAGGCATTCTTTGCACTACAACGTGCTCCCACCCATTTGAAATCTGAATCTTCTACCCACTCGGACTGACTGGTTAGTGTGTGTAGAGAGAGAAGGGTCAAGACTCAAGCGTAGTGTAGCAGACTGTCTGAGTTCATCCCTACTTCTCCCTTCATGATAATTATCATCCCATAAATGATAGACTGCAGCATTTAGGGCTGGAAAGAGCCCGGCCATTTTATAAAAAGTCAAATGGAGCTGGGCGTTGGTGACGCACACCTTTAATCCTAGCACTCGGGAGGCAGAGGCAGGCGGATCTCTGTGAGTTCAAGGCCAGCCTGGACTACAAGAGCTAGTTCCAGGACAGCCTCCAAAGCCACAGAAAAACCCTGTCTCGAAAAACAAAACAAAACAAAACAAAAAACCAAAAAAACAAACAAAAAAAAGTCAAATGGACTTATAAAGGAGGGCAGAACCTAAGTGAAGTCCCATGAATAGATGGCAGGGGAAGATAAAAAAACAAACAAAAAAAAGTCAAATGGAGTTATAAAGGAGGGCAGAACCTAAGTGAAGTCCCATGAATAGATGGCAGGGGAAGATGCTTATACTGTGTCACCAATACATGTACAGAATCCAATTTTTACGTATCTGTGTGCCTGCATGTATGTATGTGCACCCCATGTGTAACCAGTGCCCAAAGAGGCCAGAAGAGGGTATTTGATCCCCTGGAATTAGAGTTACAGGTCATTGTGAGCCACCATGTGGGTGCTGGCAACCAAACTCCAGTTCTGCAGGAGCAGTAAGTGCTCTCAGTTGATGAACTATCTCCCCAGCCCCTAGTTTAAAGACTTTTAACCTTTGGGGGATGAGCAGGTCCTCAGTCTGTGCAGCCTGTCTCAGAGTCTGCCAAGGGGTCCCAGGTGACAGGAGGGAGTGAACTGTAGCCAGTTGTGCCTGAGCATTGGGACAGAGTCGTCTATGTCCTTGCATCCTTGGGTGCTCAGAGCTTACCTCCTCTCTTACCACATGGGCCTACATGCATGTCTGTCACATCTTCTGAAATCCTAGTGGACTTTGAGAGAAAAGACAAAACCAGGAAGGCGACTAAAATGACAGGGCTAGGGTATAGAGGCTGAGAAACCCAGAGCATCACGGAGTGATAACAGTAAGGTTTCTGAAAGACGAAACATCCTGTGTCTGTATTAGACAGGTGTTCCAGAGGAACAGGACCAAAGGAATGTACATATACATGTACATATGGAAATACTGCTTATAAAATGGAGTGTCCTAGGATGGCTTACACGATGGTGCCTGGACAACCCAACAATGGCTGTCTGCATACTACAGAGGCAAGAGCCAGTGAGCCCAGCAGTCCCAGTTAGCACTGAAAACCCAGAAGCACCCACCCCTGGGGAGTCACTGGCCCTTGAAAGGCCAAACTTACTGGAGTCTGATGGCTATGGAAGAGAGCAGCAACAGCCATAGTGTATCCATCCACTCGTTCCCAAAGTAGGGAAGGCAGATGTCACATTCTCAGCTCTTTCATTGAACTTCTTAATCCTGGCCACTCTTGGAAGGGATGGCACAACACACATCCACACAGCCACTCCCCATCCCTTTCTCACATACATGTCAGTCCTCTCTAGGAATGCTCCCATAGACACACACGTGTGTTTCATCAGTTATAGACATTTCCTAACCCACTCAAGTTGACATCCCAACCAACCATTGTAGTACCTGACCAAGCACAGTCTCAAAATCTTGTTGATGCAAAGAACCTGGAGCCACTGGCTCAGCATCTTCAATGGTGTGACCTCATACATCACACCTTTATGTCTTTAACCAGCTGGTATCTAAAAATGGTTGGACTCCTTTCAGTTTTGAGGGTCACATATGTTGTCGCCTGATGCCTAAATGGCATTATTTAAATCTATGGGGAAAGCTACAAACACTAGCTTTCTCTTTCTGTAAGATTTTTACTTAATATAAATTGACGCTGTAGAGTTCTTCTGAAGGGCAGATGCTCACTGTGTTTCATGTTCTCTGTCTCCTAATAAAAGGCAGTTGCACATAAATAATACAAAGCAAAGTTCTAGGGGAATTTGAGAGGGTATGGAATTAAGCCGTTATTTTTAACATCATAGTCTTGGGCTCTCTGCCCTTTATAGCTTCTATTGTGTGATTTTTAGCATCTTCATAACTCTGACTGTTGTAATCCTAAGACTGTAGGAATTTTTCCTGTAAAAAACTGTAAGAGAGACAATGAAATTTAGATAAAGACAGGATAGTGGACTGTACATGGCAGGGTGTCCTTCATAGCATCCAGCCTAATTAACAGTGACAGTAGTGGGACTCCCCATAGCTTTGTGTGCTATTGAATTTTTAAGTCATGTTTCTGGAATAAGAGAGGGGCAACAACTTATTAACTATTTATTCAGTTTGTAATGGCTTTGGATTACTGGATGATGTTTTGTTTTTTGGGTTTTTTTGGGGGGGGGTCTATCGTTTTTGTTTTTGTGGTGGAAATGCTGACCCGGCACTACAATGCATGGTGTCAACACTCTCCTGGCTTCAGTCTCTAGAGATTATGGCTTTCTTTGATGCATCTTCCACTAGGTTTCTGTTGTGGAGTAAATGTTAGCATAATGCAAGAAGCCTACTGAAAATGCCTTTCCTTTGTTGGGTGGAGGGAGGCTCAGTCTGGAAGAGCCAACTTTAGGAAAACAGGATGAGGCATTGTTCTG